TAATTAAATTTAAATGATATAAACATAGTAATATAGCACACTTTTAATATGGATATTTATTAAATGAGGTTTCTACTCATATGATTTTATGATTATTTGCATATTTGTGTAACAAAACTTTACACCAATGATTTATAAATTACGTTATGATTATTTGAATTTAAGTATTTTCCATTTTACATATACACTTCCATAAATTTAAAGGAATGAAGTTATTATAGTTAATATATGCAAATCGTTATCAAATCGTATATTTTCCTTTTCTTCCATTACATGTGTGCGATATATATAAATATATAAACTATGTTACATGCGTTATATGCGTCTCTAATTATTTTTCCCTAGCAAATTTCAATTGAACCTAAAGCCGCCACGTCAATTTAATTGATATGCTAATTGATTGACAAGTAAGCAAGGTTACTTTTTAATTAATACAAACTTGAGGTTATATCTTTTCAAATGTTTCTCAATTAATATATAGGGGATTTATTAAAAACGATCCAAAGTTAAATCAAATAAATAAGATACTAATTAAAAGAGTGAGCAATATGATTAGATTCAGGTAACCTTGTTACGAATGGATAGTCTAGTTTTCAAGTCAAAGGACGATGGCTTCACGTAACTTGGGACAAACAGACTCATATGTCACTACAAACGTCACTTTTTTCTTGTTTTCCTTTTCTACCATTTAAAAAAAAAAATAACGGGATAACCACGCAAAAAAATCTTCAAAGTGATAAATATTTTAAATTTTCAATTTTTACACGAAAAATTTAAATCTTTAAAGTGACATTTGTAGAATAAAAACTGTGTTAGATGTTTTTTATATCTAAAAGTAATTATTTTTAAATAAAAATTAAATAAAAAACATAAATTAATAAAAAATCGGAAAGCTAAATAAATATTCAGAATATTTTTAAAAATTGAAAAAAATAAAAATAAGATAACTTAAAATACAGAAAATTAAAAAAAAAAAGCATCAGAAAATTAATAAAAATTATAGAAAATTCAAATTAGATTTTTAAATAAAAATTACAAGATTATGTTTTTCAAGAAATCATTTTGAACCATCACTGTCAATAGGGATATGTTTAGAATTTTATTGTCAACGACGATATACCCGTTTATTTTTTTTTTTAAAAACAATCTTGTAATTTCTATGCGACTTTTTAATAATAAATTGTTATATTATTATTTACGATGGTTTCAAATATCATCGTCAAAGATTTCTTTTAAAAGGATAACATATCACTACTAACGATGATGGTTTCAAATATTTTTCTAAAAAAATAATTTTGGAATTTTAATAAAAAAATATTTTGAAGTTTTGAAATTTCTAACTCTTTTGAATTTTATTTACTTTTTGTTTAATTTTTTGAATTTTTATTTAATTTTTGAAAAGTAAATACAGTTTTCTGATTTTTATAAAAAAAAATTGATTTTTATTAATTAATTATTTTTCTCAAGATGTCAACTTTTTTACTTGATAAACAAGTAAATCAAATTAAAAAAAAAAATTTGTGATACAAATGTCACTTTAAAAATTTAAAATATTAGTGGAAAAATTTCAAAATTTAAAATATTAATAACTAACACTTTTAGGATTTTTCTTCTTCTTAGCTTTACAGACTCGTCCAGGTTCTTAATATTGTTTTGTCACTAGTTAGCAGATTCTTAACATACTACAAAATTGTTCTAAATGCTGGGACAACCGATACTAGCATTATCTATCTTGATCTTTGCTTTGAACTAGTCATCTAAGTAAATATATACTATAAATTATCCAAATAGAAAACAATGTAGGAGGTTGATGATATTAAAAAAATAAGTAGGTGGCACAAAAAACATGTGATGACTGATCAACCTTGGATGTGTAGATAAGCAAACTAGAATATTACAAGGAATCAAACCAAGGTACCATAATAACTACAACTATATGCATAATTTTTTTACGAGTAACTATTAATTATGTTTTACTAATTCAAAAAATCAGTATAATAACTATTATTTATGTTTTAACAAAAAAAAAATTAAATCAAATATCAAAATAGTTATATATAATAATTTTTTCATCAAAATTAAATATATATATTTATTGTTGCGCTATACTTTTAAAAGCATTCACATATTAAAATATTGTAGAAATTATCTTTATACAAATATTTTTTTTGATCAATAGTTAATTATAAATTGTTTTATATTTTAATCTTCTAGAATAAAAAGTATTATTTCTAGATAACAAGAAAATATATATATATATATATATATATAATTACAATATTTTGTTTAATTTTTTTGACAATTTTATCATATTAATTTATAATGAAATATCTAATATAAAATATAATCTAATATTATTAAAATTAATTTCGTATCAATTTAATAGAAAATAGTATCTAGATAACAACAAAATATATAAAATAATTATCCCTATTTAAAATATGTTTTTATTTTGAAGTTTTTATCATAATTGATAATCCATTAGCTAATATAAGTTATAACCTAGTACTATTAATACTTTTTTAATTATATAATAAGGATAATTACCTAAACAATGAAAAATTCGACAAATTAGTAAATTCACTCTTCAAAAATAGTATAGATAGATAGATAGGAATTTTCCCCACACATACTAACATAATTTTCTTACAAATAATTATTAATTTATGTCTTATTAATTCTAAAAATCAGTATAATACATTATTCTTTATATTTTTAAAAAATGAAATCAAATTTATATATATTAAAAATCATAATAATACTTAATATACATGTTTATTATCATGATATACTTTTAAAATCACTCACATATTAAAAATATGGTAGAAAATATCTTTATAAATATTTTTGATTGATTAATATTTAAATATAGATTTTTTTATATAATAACAAAATATATAAATAAGAATTATCTTTTTAAATTTTTCTTTCTGTTTTGATAGTTTTATCATATTAATTTATAATCCATTAGCTAATATAAGGTACAATCTAATATTATCAATATTAAATTTGTTTTAATTATATAATAAGTAAAATTATATAAAATTATGAAGAATTTGACAAATTAGCAAATTCATTTCTCAATATCAAATAATAGTATAGGATACGCTCTTACATGTGTTGGTTGTCATATTATTTAACCTAACAACTTTTTTCCCCTAGAAATGAACAATATATATAGCAATATAGCACGCAACAATTTTAAAATCCAAACTAGGGCTGGGCAATCGGGGTCCCAATCGGGTTTCGGTTCAGGTTCATTCGGGTTTCGGGTTTTTGGGTTCATGAATTTCAACCCCATTCGGATATTATAAAAATTCGGGTCGGATTCGATTCGGGTTTAGTCGGGTTCGGTTCGGGTTTAGTAACATGTCCAAGATCCGGTTGAACCCGAAATAGTTTCAGTTTCGGATACTAATTGGGTTATCGGTTCTAAAAATACTAATTTATGCTCAATTAAATTCACTATATTTTCACTCATTTTATTAAATTTATGTATTTAGCTTCTACAAACCATATTGTTCTCCTTCAAAATAATATTGTGAAACTCATCTATCAACCATATAAGATTTGTCAATAAACTATATGTGACAACACTAAACATATCATGATTAATGACAAACCAAAGCCTTGTATGAACGAAATATAATACATAATGAAACATAAAAAAATTAAAGTTAACAACTAACAATTCTATAAATATAAGAAGTGTTATTTAAACTTTTAAAAACCACATTATATAAACTTCAAAACAAATTTATTCGTAACTTAACTTCAAATGTAATGTCAATCATAAACATTAATATTAACCAAATAACACTATATATTAGACTAAATATTTGAGTTAATTATTTATATCATAACTAATTATTGTAGGTACTCAATAATATATTAATCTGTTTTGGAAACATGTTAGAAATTTAGATCGGATATGATACAAGTTTTTTTGGAATTTTAAAGTTTCGGGTTCTTTCGGATATCCATTTAAGTTTGGGTTCGGTTCGGGTAATATCCATAACCCGAAATACCGTAAAACAAGATCCATTCGGTACTTATGTCGGGTTCGGATCGGTTCGGATTCCTTTTTATCGGGTCGGGGTTTAGTTGCCTGTACCTTTTTTTGAATCGAGATTTTTGTGGTGTTCAGTCTACCGCTCCGTGGGTACAAGATCGATTCGGTTCGGATTTTCGGGTTCGGTTTTTTTTTGCCCAGCCCTAATCCAAACAAAAACATATCATCAAGCATAAAATAGCATAAAAAACCTTCAATCCAACTTTTTTTATGCAATAGCAATAAAGTGCTATTGTTACTTACCATCATCATGTTCTCGGTCACTGTCAGCACAAGTCGTGGGCATCATCTCCTATATAAACTCCGCTCATCTTCTTCTCCACACAACAACTATTCCCTCCTCTCTTCTACCAATCCCAAAGACTCTATGGCTTCCTGCATCGACACATTCAGAACATGTAAACCCCATGACGATGACTCTCGGTTCTGTCACATGAATCACTTCCGACCCGGTTATTGCCTTTCACGATCACCCATCACTAAAACCTCCCACTCAAACTCTCTGGAAGGTGGTAATGATCTCTGGGTTAAGATGGTTGAAGAAGCTAAATCCGACGTTGAGCAAGAACCCATTCTCTCAAGCTACCATCACTCTTCCATCACATCCCAATGATCCTTAAACTCCGCTTTAGCCAACATTCTCTCCGTAAAGCTCAACACTTTAACCTTAACAAGCAACACCCTCTTCGAATTATTCATCAGCGTCTTAGAAGAAAGCCCAGAGATCATCGAATCCGTAAAGCAAGACCTAAAAGCAGCCAAGGAAAGAGACCCTGCTTGCTTAAGCCACGTCCATGCCTTCCTAAGCTTCAAAGGCTTCCTCGCTTGCCAAGCTCACCGAATCGCTCACAACCTCTGGACTCAAAACAGAAAGATCCTCGCTTTACTCATCCAAAACAGAGTATCCGAAGCTTTCGCCGTCGATATCCATCCCGGAGCGATGATCGGGAAAGGGATTCTGTTGGATCACGCGACGGGAGTGGTGATCGGAGAGACGGCGGTGGTTGGAGACGACGTTTCGATTCTCCACGGCGTGACGCTCGGAGGAACCGGGAAACAGTGCGGCGATCGGCATCCGAAGATCGGCGATGGAGTTTTGATCGGCGCCGGGAGTTGTGTGCTGGGGAATGTTACGATCGGGGAAGGAGCTAAGATTGGATCGGGGTCGGTGGTGCTTAAGGACGTGCCGCCGCGTACGACGGCAGTTGGAAATCCGGCGAGGCTGATAGGTGGGAAAGAGAATCCGGAATTGGTTGAGAAGGTTCCCGGTTTGACTATGGACCAGACTTCTTATTTAACCGACTGGTCTGATTATGTCATCTAATTATTTCCAATTAATGTGATTTTAAAAGTCTTAAACCAACATTTTGTAGATAGCTAAACTTTTGGTGTTAAATATATGATCCAAGAGTATACATTGTCAAATTCCAATCATTTGTTTTTACAAAAGAATCAATACACAATTAAGATGGAATTTTGCAGCCAATACAAAGAATATGAAATGGAATTTAAATTTTTTTAAAAACTACATATTTTCATTTGGCATATCTATACCTTCCATATATGTATATATATATATGTAACCCCTCTATTCTAACTTAAAGTTAGCAGACGCTACCAAACTTCTATTTCTTGTTTATCCACCTATTTGAAACCTCCATAGATGCTGTTGAAAATTGCAGCAATCATGTCTTCTTTGGTCACATTAAGTCAGTAAGTCTGGATGGCGGCTTCCGCAGCCCTTTTTCGCATCATCTCCGTTACAGCAGCTCTACGCCGTTTTTCTGACTGCTGCTGCCGTCTACTAGCAGCTGCTTTGAAATCTCTGTTGGATTACCCCCAAGAGTCAGCTATAATATAATAATCAAGGGGTTTTTTAAAGTGTTAAAACTCTTTATGTACCTGCATTTGGGGACAATGCATTTGGAATCTCTACAGGAGCGGGCATGGGTTCTGATGAGTAACCAAAATTGCGTACACTTGGGGCAATCTCCACGAGCCATCTTACAATCTATTACATGTCTGATTAACGTCTTCATCCAGCGACACCGCTGATACTGGCAATGTAAATACCGGCATGGAGCTGCTACATGTACAAGCAGTTCTATCATCTGCGGTATCAACAACACACCAAAGCTTTAGTTATTCGCTTCTAGCAGAGCTACATATATAGGTAAAATGGCCTCAGCAGACGATAATACCTTGTCAAACTGGATTTGATTAGCTCGCCTGGTGTCTTGTACACTAGCTTTCCCAGCAGATGAACGGCTTACCAGTTTATGTGAATGGTCGATACACGCCTTAGGGTAACAGGCATTGCAGACATCATAGGCCGTGCAAACTTGGCAGTGCCAGCCTTGAGCGTTTTCAATCTCTTGTTGGCAGATGGTGCATGCCGTTGGAAATGCAGGGACACTTGGGTTGTGAAGATGATAGAGTATCATCATGGAAGAATGTTTCGCCCGCCTTAGTGTGTCGTACTGATAGTTGTTGCCTTGGCAAAGACTCAGGAAAGCTTGCCTGTTATCAAAGAACTCGCTCTGAATGTTGACGTCTTTGTCCTCAATCTCAATGGGAACGTCTTTAATTGCCACCTGCAGAGATCCCACCACACCTTGTCATTTTCCAAGATACAAAATAAAGGAAGAAAGATATGCTGCTCTAACCACCAAAAGACACTTACAGGAAAAATTTTGTGCTTCACTTTCCGATTGATTGGATGTCTCTCTTTCTCTGCGCGCTTCTGTTCCACTTCGTAACACCTGCGGTCAAAAGTGAGTTTTGGTATTCTTATAAACTTAATAATTGAAGTAGCAAATATGATCATGTAGCAGAGATCTTACTTGTCACAGATCTGAAAATTCTTGCAGTGCTTGCACACCCACCGATTTCCTGATACCATGAGAGAGCAACAGTGCTTACAGCAATGTTGCAAATGAACCATGATAAAATCTTCCTTTATCGGGAAGATACTCTCACCGAGCTACCACAAAAACAAAACCGAAGGAGATAAATAAAAGACAAAAATGCATGAGCACACACAAGAAAATAACTAGAATTACTTTTTGCATCAACAGCCGATCCTTTGAGGCATTGACAGGAAGGTCCGACTGGCCAACTGCTCTTAGGGCTCTTTTCGTTATGACCTTTTTGGTGTATCCTTTTCCATTTAACTTAGTGGTCCCATCACCTTCTTGGCGCATTTTCTGTATTAAATCTTCAGCAGCACCTGGCAAGTAGTCCCCATCAAAATATGGCAACCTTGCAGCAGTTACATCAGCTCTACACTCGTCAGACTGGGCAAAGAATTGATCATAGAGGTTTGTGCATTCAACCACCACATCTTCCTCTGAAGCTTTCCTAAGCATTGCTAAATACCTGTCAAAAGAGAGACGAAGGACACGTTAACAAATTGCACAGTTCCACTTGACAAACAAGACAGGTTGCTCGATTCCATACCATTCCCTTAGTTTGTCAGTCTTGGGCGTCTTCTGGATTTCAGGATGACAGTTTAGAATATAATCTTCACCCTTAAGTGGTGGGCATGCCCATATGTAGCAGCTTGTGAAACCACGTTTCTTACAGTAATCGAGGTAACCAATCTGCAGATTGGAACAAGTCCATGCATGCTGATAAGTACTTAGAGAAGCAAAAGATGAAACATAAAGAAGCTGGTATTAGAGGGGAAGTGGGTTACCAGAATTTCATGGTACACAAACGTGCGGAGGGCTTCTCCAGAGACTGTTCGAACCTCAGGTCTGAAATACTTAACCGAGTCCAGATATGAAAGGTATACCCGCCGCTGATTGGCAGGTCCACATTCTGTTCCAAATTCCTGGACGAACATGCCAAATAAGCACACCTCGACACCTTCAATCTTCTGAAACAACAATATGACCTGATATAAAAAGAAAATATATATCTAAGTGCCAATGATGCAAAAGTCAATAAATGAACAAAAGAAACAAGCATGAACCATATCTACCTTGGACTTATAAGGGTATTCAGATGGATAGTTCTCTCCTCGGAAAAGCTCGAGGAAATTCTCCTTTACTTCTAATACTTTGTCAACTGATGCCACAACTCTGACAGTAAGTGATTCGGCTCCAGGAACCTGATATATATCAATAATGAAGGTAGATGGTTATCATCACTGTTCCTATACAATCTCTTCTTATCCGAAGCTCGAACAAAAAAATGTAAAACCGTTGACAGCCATTGTCAGAGGAAAACCGACATCAAAAGAGTTAAAAAGGAGTTTTACCTCCTCATAACTTTTTCCTTGAAGTCTAGCCCTCGCTTGTCTTTCCATTTTCAAGTTTTTGAATAACCGCTGCTCTATATGATCGCTAAGAGTAGTATCTGGTAAACTTTTTACCCCAGGGATGGCACTCTGTGGTAACGGTCTTCTTTCTCCTTGCTCCACCTCTTGGATATAGCAATTAGGGCAAGTGTACTTGGTGGCTTCCCCATGGTTCCTTCGGCTGTTGAACAAGGCTCAAATTTGATGCTGCCACGCTTGGCACTTATCACATTGCACCCACTGCATGAAACCATTGATTCAGTCATACAACATAAAAGAAGTAAATCTTGGAAAGTTTTATGAAGTCATGAGGCATACATACCCCTTCTATAACTTGTTCATCGTTTTTCTTCTTCTCAAGCCTTGCTTTCGGTATAGAGGTTCCATCAACAGAAACAGAGTCTTCACGCGCTTCGGTGAAGCAAGTTGCGCAGACATAATGCCGTGACTCACCAGCAGCAACGGTATAGTGCAAGGCGTTTCTCTTGATGCGTACAGCACAAGGGGAGCAGTAAATAGGTATTGGCTCAAATACAAGCCTCTCAATAGCACATAACTGGCAAGCTTCCGCAGATATGAAGCAACCCATTGCTTTGTTTTTGTCCGCCTTGGTTTTGCTCTGAAAACATAATTACAAAGAGAGAGAAACTAGCGTCAGCAGACAATTTAAAACCTCAATAATCAAGAAAGGGGCATTGCCTGGGTGGTAGAGACTCAAAGTGTATGTTAGTCAAACCCAACCAAAAAAATGAAGTTTTTTTTTCAAATTATGACGGTTTACCTGGCCTACCCATTGACGAAGACCTCTGATATGCTCTTTTACTTGCTCTGGAGTAAACAATTCAACGAGGGAGGAGATTTCCATCTTAGACGCATCCATGGATTGTTTCACATTCCCTTTCTTTGGTGCACCCATTTCATCCATACATTTGGGTTTCCCTTGTGACGTTAAACAAATAGTTTTGTCATTCATAGCAGACTCTCTACCCATGGGAATATCTTCAGCAACATGAAGGGTAACGGGAATCCTGGAAACATCAGAAAGATCTATGTCCATAGGCATAACCTCAACTTTGACACTTTGCAAACCATATCTCTCTTTCTTAGGCATTGAAAAGACAGCACCACATGCTGAAACCGGCATGCTCTCCCTCTCATCAGAAGTTGCAATCTGGGAGGGTTTCTCTATTTTCAGGCGCTTAACTGAGGGTCGCAGATCATCACTAACATCAATAGTTTCAGCGCCTCTTTTGTTGTTGTATGCTTGCACAGACTCTGAAGATTCCCTTGGTAGAGCGCCTCTTTTATTTCTATTCTTTTTGATGCTATCATTGACAGGTACACAGACAAGGCAAGATTTGTTCCTGCACTCCTCGTAATGAAGAAGCAATTTCCGAGTCTGCCCACAACGTGGTTCTGTACAGCCAGGGATCATGCAGCATTTCATATGTTCCAGTAGCTTTTTGACAGGAAGACAGAACTTGCTCAGACACGTATCTCCTGTTGCTCTGCAGTCACGTGCATGCTCCAAAATTAGAAGCCACCGAATCTGATTCCTAACATCTTGACTACGATCTCCATTGACCTGTTTACTTGATGTGTTGTTTCCATCTAGAAGAAGTTTCCTCTCAGCAGTGCTTCTAGGAGAAACAGTTAGAGTCGCTCTTGCAGATGAGGAGCTTTGAACAGCTACTGGCTGCATCGGAGTGTTTTGACATGAGTTAACCGCACTAACAGGAGTTATTTGAGGCGCTCTTGCAGATGAGGAGCTATGAACAGCTACTGGCTGCATCGGAGTGTTTTGACATGAGTTAATCGCACTAACAGGAGTTATTTGAGGCGCTCTTGCAGATGAGGAGCTTTGAACAGCTACTGGCTGCATCGGAGTGTTTTGACATGAGTTAACCCCATTAATAGGAGTTATTTGAGGCGCTCTTGCAGATGAGGAGCTGCGAACAGCTTCTGGCTGCATACGAGTATTTTGACATGAATTGGCCCCATTAAGTTCTCTCTCTCCATTATTGTTTTCTGATTCTTGAGGCGCTCTTGCAGACGAGGAGCAGCGATGCAGAGATTGTGGCTGCATAGGAGTTGTTTGACTAACATTAACCCCAAGAGGTTCTCTGTCTCCATTAATTTTCGCTGATATTTGTGTTGAGTTCTTAAGAGATGACTGCCTTTGAACCAAGACTGATGGCGACTGCTTCTGATCATGAGGATCTGATGGGAGAGATGGAGAAGTCAGATGACTAGTATGAACAGCATTGTATTGGTAGTGCAACTTGGATGGTTTGAACTCATTTAGGGCCTGTTGCTGAAGATCTTCTTTGTAACAATCCAAGCTTGGTCCATGGTTGACATGAAGAGGTGAACTCGTAGCTACCTGAGTCCGATAAGCACCCTGGTATAGTAAATGATCTTGATTCTGCAGGTTACCAGGATAAAGCTGTCGAGAGTGCTGTTCTTGGTGCCTAGCATCACCAGCTTGATGGCCAAAGAATTGTTGAGCGGAAGCAGATTGAAAAGTTGTATTCCCGAGCTGATGAAATGAGTATGGAGTTTGCTGCAGGTATGGCTGATTATTTGTGAAGGTAGCGAGCATAGGATCTGGGTGGAATGGACGTGTATCCTGAGCAACAACCATTGAGCTGGCTGACATTACACCTCCGTGGAGATTACTTGAACCAAAAGGTATAGAAAAAGTTGGTTGAGAAGAAGTAGCAAGGGTTACGGCGTTCCCGTAAATTCCAAAGGAACCAGAAGAGAAGCCAGAAGAAGTAAGTTGGGGCCTAGAAACATCAACCATCTGGTAATTTGCACCATCACTGTAGAGTGGCTCGGTTCTGTGTAACCCAGGTACGCTGCTATTGCCACAAGTAACAGGGAATCCTGCATTATTGAAATTCAACAAAAAGAAGCGGTTGATGAGACTGAGAACAGATTTGTATATTAAGAGAGGTGAGAGTAGTTGGATTTGACCTCCAGTTGTGCAATGAATGTTGTAGTTTCCTCCATATTGGAAAGTTCCTCCAGCGAAGTTATTGTTGTTAGTAGTATGCGGAGGATTTGATGAAGATGAAACGCTCATCATGGTAGCAGAAGTAGTTGGAGGACAAACACGCCGTTGTTGTTGCTGCTGCTTCTGCAAAATGATTTTCTTTAAAATCAAGTTGAGAATAAAATCAATGCGGGCTTCAAGATCTCTTAAATCTGCATAGGCTCTCTGCAAAAGAGAGAGAGAGAGAGAGAGAGAGAGAACAGTGTGAGGAAAATAGTATGCAATAGAGTGTATACAAGAAAACAAAATAAAGTGGAACCTCTGATGAATTGGCTCGCGACCAGAGGATTTCATCAATCTGTCCAGTGAATTTTCTTATACGTTGTTCTCGTTGTTCAAGCGAGCCCCTTGCAGTAACCTTCTTCTGTAAGATAGCATAACTGGAGGAGACAAATCAAGGCCATTATTAAGATTAAATTCAGAACTAGATATTAAATTTGATTTTTAAAGTAATGCTTACATCTTTAATCTAATAAAGTTGCGTAATCTAATAGTCTGCGAATGTGGGGTAGGAGTCTGCATCTGCTGCGGAACAACACTCATATTCTCACCTGAATGTGGCATCATTCAACTCATATGCGATATATATGTGGGTGGAGTAGTTTAATAATTGAGATGTTTTTGACCTGTGCAATCATCAACAGCTAATTATATAAATTAAGGGTTTATATTCGACTTACGACGAGTTAATCTTAGCTGAATTGTTTATTTTTATTACACGGAAGCAGGAAAAAAAAAACCTAAATCCCCGACACGAATCAAACCCTAGAGACTTCTGAAACAAAACAAAAAGCGCCCTAAACCTGTGAGAAAATCAGCAATTCCCGAAAACGACGACAATCGAAGACGCAGACAAACAGACACAAGTCAAAGAGAGAGAGAGATGACGCTGACCGAAGAAACAAGCCAAGAAGGTGTTGTGGTCGGTGGCTGATATCCCCCGCACGTGCGATTGTGACAAACAATGGAACCTTCCCTTTATTTATTTTATTAATTATAGGGATGATGGATGAAACATAAATAAACCCCCACCCGGGCCACCCCAATTGTCTACGTGGCCAAGTCTATTACTTTTCTTTTCTTCTTTTGCAAACAGAAAAAGATTTTCATAGGTTGACTACAAAAAGCATGATATCTTGTAATACGCAATTACAATGTTCCACGTGGCAATTTTACTAAAAGTTAACAGACGAGATGTGGTTCTTAATCCAATAAAACGGGACGTAGTTGTATAACTCCAAACAATAAACGACACGTAGTCTGCTTTTCGAGGATGTGGCCAAAGAGAGAGCACTGAGAGAGATGTCAGGCTCAATTTTGAGTTCGCCGGCGATTATGAGCAACGTTTCGGTAGCAATGAAGGTCGCTGTCATCGGAAGCGGAAGTAAGACTCTCCTCTCCCTTCTCACCAATTACTTTCCTTTTCGGTATTTCTGTTACGAAATTAAAAGTTTCCGTTTTGGGGATCAGTTTCAGGAGCAGTGTGCGCATCGACTTTGGCCAGGAACGGAGTCTCCGTAACGATCTTCGACTCAGGTCGTGGTCCAGGTGGAAGAATGTCTCAAAGAAGGGAGGTTGGGGAAGATGGGAAGGAGCTGACGTTCGACCATGGTGCTCCGTTTTTCTCTGTGACCAGCCCTGATGCAATGGCCCTTGTCCACGAGTGGGAGTCCAGAGGTTTTGTTTCTCAGTGGAAACAAGCTTTCGGGAGTTTCGATTGTGCCTCCAACAAGTTTCTTGGCGTCCAACAGGTTTTTTGTACTAATCAATCTTTGAGTTTTTTTTTTGATCAATAGTTTTTTTTTTTTTAATTTAAATTCAATAGGGAGGGGATGATGCCAAAAAGTATGTGGGTGTTCCAGGGATGAACTCTATATCAAAGGCCTTGTGCAACCAGTCCGGTAACGTTTCCTTAGTTTATTTTTGTCTGTGAGATTCAGCTCTTAAAAACATTAGTCTTTGTTATCGTATTCGTAGGTGTTGAATCTATGTTTGGAACTGGCATTGCTAAGCTGGAATGGTTGGAGGAAGAGAGATTACCATGGCTGTTGAAAGATTCTAAAGGAGAAAACGTGGGTCGTTTTGATGGAGTGGTTGCATCTGATAAAAACGTTGTCTCTCCAAGGTTTACTCAAGTAACCGGACAACCACCTGCTCTGGGTAAAACTTGGACCAACTCTCTCCCTCCTCCTACTCTTGTTACCGTGTCAGTATTATTATATCTCTATTTTGTTCCTTCCTTCACACAGACTTAGATCTTATCCCGGAGTTGGCCACCAAGCTGCAAGATATTCCTGTTCGCCCATGCTTTTCTCTTATGCTAGCTTTTAAAGAACCATTGTCTTTGGTAACATATCTTACTTCTTATTCAGCGTGATACACCAATCTACTAGCCAGAGTATTTGCATTCATTTGGTTGATTTCTTCGTTTGCATTTTCTATGATTCTTGATTTTAGATGCCAGCCAAAGGCTTATCTTTCAAGAATTCTGAGATTTTGAGCTGGGCTCACTGTGATAGCACTAAGCCAGGGCGGTCTACTGATAGGTAACAGCTGACTTTGCTAACCAAAACCAAAATAGTAAACGTTATATGAGCACAAAGTTTATGGGGATAGTTGGTTCAGTATTCTAAAAAAAAATTATATATATATTTTATAGTGAAAGATGGATACTGCATTCTACTCCAGGATATGCCAACAGTGTTATTGCCAAAACCGGTCTCCAAAAGCTATCGAGCGAAACACTTAACAAAATATCTGAAGAGATGTTCAAAGAGTTTCAGTGCTCAGGGCTTGTTAATTCTCTCCCCTTTCTCATGAAAGCCCACAGATGGTACGCACCCCCTACCCTACCCTGACTCTTAATTTTGATATCTCTTGTTAGCTTATTGATCTCTTGCCTATCTGTAAGGGGAAGTGCGTTCCCAGCCAAAAGCATAGCCGTAGAGGAGAGGTGTCTCTGGGATAGAAACAGGAATCTAGCAATCTGTGGAGATTTCTGTGTCAGTCCAAACGTCGAAGGTGCCATACTCAGTGGCTTAGCTGCTGCGTCAAAGCTTTTGCAGGCTTCCAGCTGTTTATAGGTACCCCTACTCAGTGTACCCCAGTACCTCAAAACAGAGTTAAATATGCATTTACTTTTTTATAAATATTCTCATGTAATAGTAGAATAACAGTCTTCATCCTAAACTCGATCCGGCGATGAAGCAGACATATCGGGATATCATGTGATCTTCCTAAACTTTTACTTTGTTTCTTGATGAAATGACATCAAGCGCATATGTATATTATATATATAACTTTGTTTCATTTGCAGTACTTGTCAATGGAATCCGATTAGCGACATCTATCAAAGTAAACAACCTATGGTAACTTGTCATATTTATAGTTATGGAAAAACAAAAATAGTAGAGTAACTAAAAACCAGATAGCAAAATCAAGAAAGGTTCATGTCATACATAGTAGAGGTAGAGAGAATCGTGATGCCACAAATACCAAATTTCAGTTTTATACTAAAACCAAAATGAAAACTAGGGAAGAAGAATCAACTCAAATCTTGAATCGCAGACCGGAGAGCGCGGTTTGGGACAAGGTTGCGATGAGAAAGCTTGAGATTTGTCATGGGTGAGGTATCGTGACCTGTACTAAACCATTTCTTAATAGCTTCAGCTTCGTATGTAAACCCATCAGCAGCAAAGTGTGGATCTTTCATCACCTCCTGCAAATAAATAATACAAGCATATTATATGTCCGAGATTGAGTGTTGGGCAAGTAATCATCTTATAAAGAAAAGGGTTAGGTCTTACTTGTGTGATAGGGCAGTAAAACGAGGGCAGAGGTTGACGCTCTTCCGAATGCTTTCTTGTCAGCTCTTGTACTGTTTCGAGAGCACTGTCCCTCTCTTCTCGCATCGCATCTGCTTCTTGGTTGAATGCTTCGAGTAGTCCTTTGACTATCTCAAGCTCTTCTTTTTGTCTAGAGAGAGAATCCTCTGTTTCTTTCCTAACGCTCAACTCTTGGTCGTATTTGTCCTGCCAAGTTCTGACTTGCGAAGTCAGGTTCTCTTGTTCTATCTTACAAGTTTCAAACATTTGCGCCATCGCCTCCACCTCATTCCTTTCTTTGTGAAGTGCGATTTCTGCTTCTTTCCTGAGAATCAGCTCGTCCTTGTAGTTGCTCTCGAGCTCCTCTGCTTTCAACCGCAAGTTATCGTGTTCGTTTTCGAGAGTTTCCATTCGAAGCCTTACCTTGGTAATGCTCTCCCTTTCTATTGCGAGGGAACATTCTGTTTCTTTCCTAAGCTTTGATTCATCTTGGCACTTTTGCTCCAGACCTTGAGCATGTGACACTACAAGAAAACTAAACATTTACTAGGAAACTTTACTAGGAAAATAATTCCTCGTAAAATTACTACGAGTTTACTTCAAGTTTACGAGGAAACCATGTTTCCTCGTAAGGTTCTCGTATACTTACGAGAAAACATTTTCCTCGTAAAGTCGTAGTAACATTACTAGGACTTTACGAGGAAAAAAACGCGGGCATAGCTATTTCCTAGTAAAGCAGTTTCCTCGTAAAGTCCTAGTAATTGCTTACTACGAAATTAAGAGGAATGAGTTTTGTTACTACGAAATTAAGAGGAACTAGATAGAAAATATCGAATTTAAATTTTGTACCTACTTTTC